AAAACTGCGGGGAACCATGCAAAAACGCATCTTCGCACGGGCAGCCCGTGCGTTGGCCAATTATTTTCTATGTAGCGAGACAGTCAGTCCTTAACATGTCAAATTTACATTACCGTTTGCTCATGGGATAGCGCAGGGCTATTAATTATTTTCTTCAAATTAGATTTAGGCGTACAAGGAGTTCGGCTCCCATGTTGGTCACATTTGGCACAAACAATACCGCATCGCCACTACTCCACTGCCAGTAAGAAGGGATTTCATGCATATATTCGCCATAGTTCATGTAACCTTTCGTCATAATCTGCATTACTGTTGACCTGAATTAACATATGCATTGCTGAAGCGTCTTTGCATTGTCATACAAACTGTCCTCTTTTGGCTGTAAAAAACCCACACGGTCGTGTCTATGGCATTGGTATCAAAATTACTAAAACTGCCCATACAGTCCAATAGATGCTTGTGTATGTCTGCCTAAATTAGGCTGTTTTAACAGAACGACGCACCCTAACAAAAGCAACATTAACCTCTGGAATTAGACAAGATCACGTTTATACAGCTCTGCTTTAACTTGTTTGGGCTCATATTCTAGACTGGGTAGGACGAGTATGTAAATTTGCTGTATGCACTTTCTACCACTTTCAAGCCCTGGATGAATAAATGTTTTTTCGAGGTTTCAAGTGGCCGTTGTCAACAATATAAAGTGTCAGGAAGTGGAGGTATGCCGTTTAAAAGTTAGCAGCCTTTCATTATAGCTGAAGCTTGTGAAAACCGTCAGCGAAGTAACCGACACAGAAAAATATTTTTTCTTAGGAGGGGTAGTCAAGGAAAGATGCGGACTGTTTTGAAGGCAGACATACAGTAGAGGCTAACCCTGCTAATCCTGGGATGCCAATTCCAGTAGTGCAGTGGTCCAGCGTGTCATGCCTGCAAGTGAAGGTGAGTGTTCGACGCACTCCCAGTTCACATCGGTTTGCAGCTGTAGGCCCAGCTCATGACAAGCTGTATCCGACATTTGAGTGCATCTTAGTAACATCGCAATCATGAAACAATCAAACCCGAACGGTCTTGTTGTCGGAAAAATAAAAAGAGCAAATAAATGTGCATCTTAAAAAAACTCTTCACTTCCCAGTCTGCAGCGAATTTGACTAACATCGTATATATTTGATAAAATAAGCAAAAGAAAAAATAAACTAACTTCGTGGTAAGGACGTACACCCCTTTTTTTCCCATGTATAAAGGGAGATTCTCAATATTTCGCCAACTGAATCCTGTCCAATTGTAGCGTTTACCAGAATCATTATAATGCACAATATCTGGGGCACAGGAAGGTGTTGGAGGCGTTACCGATATTTCATTACAGCATTCGACTGGCGCGATATGGTATTCTGGATTGGTGAGCAAAGCGCAGCCTGCAGATTATTTCTTGCCACATTCTGGCACATTGAAGTGAATTCCTACCGAAAAAATTCATTTTATGAATATTTGTTATGAACGGTAGTGCTGTACGCCGAGGACAAGAACCCCAATAGCTTGTTCCTAAAAAAACATAAAACCGAGCAATGAAATTCCTGCCCATGGCACTTGCCGTAACTTCCCAGGACTGCTCCCCTAATGCAGTGCATATCAAGAGAACTTTCAATTTTGAAAACAATGACATACGATCGACGATCATTGGCGTGAGCATATGGCATCCATAATCGACGATTCCCGTTTTGCCAATCTTTCGGACGGAAGCAATGACAAGCATTTTTGGCTCTTGAAAATTTTTGGCCAATCTCGTTGAATGTAAATCCTGTACAACCAGTTTATCACGTATCCATACTCTCAATATCTCTGATCCGTGCTTTGTATACACCCACAGTGAACCGGCCTGAAATGAACTATGCACCGTTCGAAACAATGCCAGCAGCAAAGAATCCGACCGCTCTCAGAGTCTTATTTACAACAAAGCGATCCTCCTCAAAGAACATGCTGCGGCGCCACTAATTTGGAGGGCCTGTTCTTCTCTTCAGTAAGTGATTAGCACTCGGAGAAGGTAGAAAAAAGTCTATTGCTTTTACAGCATCCCGCATTGTGCCCTTTCTACTGACGAATCTCAACCGTAAGTAAAAAGAA